CATTAAAAACTCAATTCCTATACTTAATTAGTATTTGATAATTACCACTTCAGTCAGTTAATATAATGTTATGTTACATTGATTACGCAACACTTCCCTTGTATTTTTTCCTGATAGAATAACACATGTAGGGTACTAAACAATCACACTAAAGGTCCCTTTGAATACCAAACTGGGCATAATGAAAATTGTACTCTAAATCATTGACCCTAAACTGATCTATATATCAATATAGTCAGAATGAAGGGTGTCTGCACTCATATCAGTTTGTACGGATCTAGCGGTTGGCCAGTTTTAGATGGTACAATGCAAGCCCGTGACAGGTGTACCCTTACAAAGTCATGTAATGTACTAGTCATGCCTCTAACTCTGCCCTTGGTCACAGCTGTATAATCGCATTGATTTCTGTGACCCTGCACAGAGTTAACTGAGAATAAACAATAGGTCTAGGTCTTGATGAGAGGTAGGTATTGGCTTTCTGAGATTGCAGCTGCTATCTCTGATTTATTCAGCTGCACTTCTTCAATATTTTTCTCCTGCCCTATTTGTAGGCGAGTTATTGCTTGGCCAGTTGTCTGACCTCAGATGCTTTTCTGTTTACAGGTGACAACAGATGCTTTCTGTTTTCTGTTTTCCCCTCTCTTGCTGTGTACACATATACTGGGTACAATGACCACTACATGTATTTGAACCATGGCCAACAAACAATGCCAAATGGCCTTGTAAGTATTAAGAAATGATTTGGAAATTGGATTTGTGGCTGGTGTTCAGAAGTGTTTCATGGTTTTTGCTTCTGTTACTGTGAGCAGATTTATTTCACTTGTTATTCTCTGAGGAAGTTTTCATCCCTTCCCTGTGCTATTTGTGCCACATTTTTAGTAGGAGAATTTTTTTCTTTTTTTGCGTTAAAGCATCAGTGTAAAGTGTGAACTATGGATAATGATGAAGAACCGCTTACAGTACTGATAGAGTCTATACTTTTCTTTACAGTTGATATGTATATTGAAATACTGATTTAACTAAGGTGGAATTTATTTGTGTTTGACCCAAGTAGGTGGGCTTTATGTGGGTTAGATTTATGGAGGTTCTGGGGAGAAATCTTTTTGCCAAGTTCGGTTATCACGCAAGCCCTTCTAGCCGTCCTCCCTGTTGTCTGGAAGAATTGACTGCATGTATCCACATCACTGAAGCAGCGCAAGCTAGCTGATCTGTGTAATTGAGGATCCTTCCACTGGCTGTTCTCACTGCCACGCTAACTGCTTTTTAAATTATGGAAGGCTGAGAAAGCCCAACAGAATTAGCGTACAAGAGTTGCATGTAGGCTGCTGCTGTTGTGTAATTACAGTGGCAGAAGCTCCTTTTACTCCACAAATGAGCTCTCCAGATGCAGAGGAGTTTCTACAGAGCTACAACACACTGCCTATTTTGAAAAGTGCCTTACAGTTTTGTGGCATTATGTGCCCATAACTTTGGGAATTGCAGCAGTCTGGAGTAAATTTGCTCTGAAGAAAGCAAACAACATCAAAGTACATTATTTGTTTCTGTAGATACTTTTCTAAACGGAAGAGAGGCAGCAAAACCGAGCACTTCCACCCTGTTTAAAATGTTCCAATTTTCACTGTTTAAAATGGAACTGTTAGTCAATAAACAAAACCCAGTGAGCTACGTTTCTGACACAATACACAGCTGAGGTGCTTGCAGATACTGGTATTCTGGAAAGCATAGAGGGAGGGCAGTATCACTCAGGTAAATTCTTGTTTGTCTTCAGGAATACTGGATTTGGGTACAGAAGCACAGGTTCACTCAGACTACCCTTTTTCACCTACCCATAGAAGAGTGGCATAAATACTGAAAATAGTAATTTATACTCTTGGTTTCATAACTTGTCCAGTCTGTTTTACATGCGCAGCAAGTGTTTAGTGTGCTGCTTTGGTTCACAGGGTATGGGTGGACAACACGGTTACTTCGGACTCTGGGTAGACAGTGACTATGGGAAGGGACACAGCAAAGCAAAACCTCGATGTACCACCTACAACAGCCCCCAGCTGTCAGCTAAAGAGGATTTTACACTGGATGCCATGGAAGTTTGGGCAGTGGGAGACCTCCCTGAAAGTGCAGGGGTAGGTGAACAAAACTGAAACCTATGCAATTCTGTCCTGATTGGAATGGGAGATACAAATGCAAAGCTTGCAGTGGCAGTTTTCTGATTAAACACTGTCTCTCTGTTGTAATGAATAATGTTTTCTTTAACTGGCTCTGTGGTGCCATATATTTTGTAGCAAGTAAATAGCAAAACAGTAGTGGCATTATTGAGAGTGCCAACAAGAAATAACATCAGGAGCCATGAAATGATAGAGTCAGAAGAGCCGTACTTTATTCTGAATTTTGAAAGGCCTTTCTGATATTGAGGAATGGTCTCCAGAAGGAACCTCCTTGGAGGGGTTTATTTGTAAAACAGAAAGCAAGTACTGGAAGCTCACAAGTAAAGCCTAATCTATAGCTCAGGAAAAGAACCCAAAAGATTTCTTTATCAGTAACTTTAAATTTACTATAGTTTTACAGTAAATTTATGTCAATAGATTTATGCTAGTCTTTCTGCACCTGGTTTATTTCTGGGAATGAGTAGGAGACCTCTTTCCAGTCTCCTCTGTCCCTGTACTTTATTCTCTTATTAAACTGTCTGGTCTCCACATTTTGGTGGTGGTTTTTTTTTTTTAATTTTAATTTCTTTTCATCTAAATTCCTGTGCTCTGTCTGTTCAGAGGATACGTAGCTCTAAATAGAAACAGAACAAATTGTTTACAAAAAATGTTGACTTGTACTTGAATCTCTTCTTTATAAAAAAGTTCACATCTCCACTTCAAACTGAGGTCAGGTTAACCAAGATGTTCTGGCTGGCTTGTAACCTGCATAAACTTGAAATAGTTTACTGTCATCTTAGGAAAAGTTTATGACTATTTTGTGTACCTGCAGCAATAAAATCATTTGATGTATCCCAGTGAATCTTAAATGCCTTACTTGGAAAGTATATATGCTTCACTGTGACAAGCTTGCAAACCAGATTACTTGTAGAGTTTTGAGTATGTCTCTTTCTTGTAGCCTGATATTGATTAATTCATAATGACATTTTAAATTGACTATATTTCATTTTGTTTTGAAGACAAAAGGTAAGAAGAGTATCCTGGATGTAGATCCTGAGGCTCAAGCCTTATTAGAAATGACTGGAAAAAGTCGTCAGAGCGAAGGTCTACGAGAACCCGTTGAAGAAGAAGATGATGATGATGATGATAACTAAAAGAATCACAGTAACATGAAAAACCTTTTCTTTTTTTTGCTCTTGAGTGTTAATGTTCCTTGGACAGGATATTTTTTCCTCATTTTTTTCCTTACATTTACCTAATTATCATACTTATGTAATGTTTAGGTCCAATACAATATCCTGCCTGAAGGGTTTTGTTTGGGGAGGACAGAAAAATTAACTAGGTACTTAATCATTAGACACCTCTAAGTTCTAGCTGAGTATGAATTTGCTAGCATTCCTGATAGATCCTGTCTGCATACAGAATTAAAAACAAAAGATGGAAGTTATTGACAGTACGGCTTACTGACTTGGAGAATTGATATGTATTTATAGAAAGACTGTTCAAGACACTGATTATGGCTCTTATACCTCAGCTGCACATATTTATCTGCATGCAATGAAATTAGTCAGCGAAGCTTGCAAATTGTAATGATGTCTTACATTGGTAAACATAGAATAGTCCACGTGATTCCATGTGAAGGATGCTATTAATTTGCATTGCTCCAGTTAAAGCATTAAATTTCATGTTTTCTAAGTCAGATTTTCAGCAAGTGACTCTATACAGGCTGTAAAATGTCCAGAATGCTAAGTATACAGTATCCAGTTTTATAATACTACACTACACTACACCTTAGTGCGTTTCACTTAAGAGGTTTCTGCAGAAATTTGCCTATTGCTTTTTAAACTCAGTAGAACAGAGCCATTGGGAGTCATTCAGCCATATTTATCCTAAGAATGGGCCATACCTCCCCCAGAAATCCTCTAGGGAAGGTACTTTCTTTAGTAGCCTCACTTGAGACTGGAGTAAAAGATCAGGCTGCAAAAAGGATTAAGTAAGAAGCATGCACAGTTAATTGGGAATAGTATCTGCAGATACCTTATAAAAAAACCCAAACAACCAGGGTTATGTCTGTAACGTTTAAAGACGACTGCTGCACGCTTTATTTCCACACAATTAATCATTACTGTATTATGGAAATGCCTGCAGTATGAAATGTAACTAGTGGGTTGGGGGGTTTGCTCTGTTTTGTTGGCTGTTCACCAGTCAACACCAGTTTTGTCAGGTCTCTCATACTCAGGGCTTTTTCTACTTGAATCTGTTCACATCTATCAGTAATTATTAGTTTGACCTTGCTAATTCTATGTATAATTAACTCGTGAAAAATAACCCTAATTTCTACCAGGGACTGTCATTTCTAACTCAGCAAATTGTGTGTTTGGTTATTAGTATGTATGATTGTCAGTCTTTCTCCTCCTAAGGAGGAGGACTGTATCAAGTCCCCTTCGTCCTAGCATGAGTTCGCCTTCCGTGCAGCTTAGAGCAAAAAATGTGCTGTAACAGTATAAAATTACTGCGATTCCTGATCCTGTGGCCTTCCTTCAAATTCTTTCCCTTAGCATTTTCTTGTATGTGGTCTTTTTTTTTTTCCACCTGATGTTTTTCACAGGGAGCCAGATTTGAATATTCTGAATAATCTGCACTTGTGCCTTAATGTAGATCCCATTTTAAAAAATTTTATTAAACAATATGAATTTAGGCTTGAAAGGAGAGCATGAAGAAATCACTCCAGCCAGACATCCTAGAACTCAGCTGTGCATTTTGTATGCTACCTGAACTAATGATGGGGGCATATATGCTATTTGGTCTAGTATAGAGTATGTGAAAGACCTGAGCTAATGTCCTTTTAACTTGTATTTGCTTAAATAAACCAGATAGTCTCCCAAGTTTGTAACACATGGAAAAAAATGTAAGCATTAAAACAACTACACTGATACTTTTGTATCATTTTCTTCTCTTTATATTTTAATAAGAATTTTAAATGGTACAAAGTAGGGAGTGCTATATAGACAGCAAGTAAGTACATGATGCTCTCTCTATGTGTGGTGATGCTGGCTTTTGTTTTAACATTCTCCCCCCATAAGCCTCAGAGGTATTCTTCACTTAGGCATTGACTAAGCGTACTAAATACTTGGCATACAGGAGTGAGACATAGTTGAATTTCTGCAGTTACACATAAAATAAACAACTAGACTTTCTTTTCCTTCCATTACAAGGCAGAGACTTTTCTTTGAGGACTGAAACCATTTGCAACGATTTTTAAAAAAATAGTGAGCAGACAGCTTTGCAGACTCTATCTAGGGAGAGTGAATTGCACAAAGCTACTCTTCACCAAAAGTATTTCAGTGGCCAAGTTCTCTTTGATTTTGAATAAATATCAGTATAGCTGGTTCTTTCTAGGCTATGAATCCAAAACATAATCTTGTTTAAACATCCTCTTGTGAAGATCAGCATAGCATTTTGACCTCTGAAATTGTGTTTTATGACAAGTTTATATTTGAGACTCTTCATCTTCACTTTGAAGTGAGGGTATTAAGCTGGGGCAAGAAGAAAACTGACACTATGGCACTTCTACCAAATGTATCAGTGAGGCATTGTTTACTAGGAAACTACTAATCCAAGCAGCAGATGGGCTTATTCAAAATTGTTCTTTAAATGTAAAAGATTGGCTTGGAAGAGGCTCAACATTTTTTTTACTGAACCTAACGATTAAGCAATCTGTGCTTCGTGTTCATGCATCTAAAAATGTCCAGAAAGCCTTTGTCAGCAGTGGGCTTAGCTATGATCTAAACACCTCTCAATCACTTTTATGCAGCTGTTGATCCAACTGCAAAGCTTAACATCCCTGCTACGTATGTGAGCCATCTTTATTCTCATGTGCTTGTGCAAGCGAGTCCCTTCCCCATTAAATGCATCCACTACTGTGCATCAGATCAGATCAGATCAGCCTTCTGCTTTGCTCCTATTAGTCATATAGGCACACAAAAATCACTGTGGTGTTCGGCAGAAGCTGACAGCCGAGGGGTGGCACTTTAGCTCGCTACTCTTTGTTTGGCATCTCCCCACAGTTTCCTTGAGAGTCTTGCTGAATCAAGGCTAGATATCTGGGAATCTAGAAACACTATAGATTGACTATAGGAGAAGAAGTGCTAGTGAAAGCAGGTCTTTTCCATTCTTGTAATTTAATATAAAAGGATGGGTCTAAATCAAGAGTCTCGTTCAGATCTTTATCTGTAACATTTTAAAATGTAGATTTTTATTAATAAAAATCATTTTGATTTAAATAAATAGAATTTCAGTTTATGCACAATAGATTTTTCTGTACAGGTGTGAAACTGCTTTATTTTGTCTGGGACTGTCACAGCATTCTTGACATATAGATCAACGTTATAAAAATATACCTGATCTTGGTTTAAAACAGGAGCCGCTCCGGAGGTTTCTGTAGGCAGCTCAGACCACTCAGGTAGAGCATGTAGAAGGAACAGACTCTGGAGTAGGAAGGACTGTCGGTACAGATTCACTTGAGTATCTTCAGAAAGGATGTGTGGCGTCAGAAAACGGTGCTTTTGAATTATCCAGCATCACAGCTCCGTTCCAAGTGTATCTTTAGAGGAAGTTTGCATCAGTTATGACACCCCTTTGTGTGTTTCGGTTGGTGGCAGCAGCGTTTTTCACAGAGTTTGACGAACTCAGACACAATGAAAACTGAGGAAGCCAGTCCAGTCAGAAACAGCAGGTCTGCCGAGAGGAAACAGAGCGGAGATGAACACAGTGGAGAGCTGGATTTTGCGCTGGGCAGGAATCCCCAGTTAAGGGCCTTCCTGCAGTGGGTATTTGTGCTGGTGTAACTCCATAGATGTATGGCCTAGCTATGCTTTTGCTAGCTGTAGAATTAGAGAAACGACTGCGATAGACAAGGAATACCCATACACTCTGTTGGTATAGTCCACTTGATGGGTGGTAACCTCTGCGTTAATCATTTGGGATCCTTGAGCCCTGCTTCTAACAGCATGCCCAATGGAGATGCAATACAATGTAGTGTGGTAGAGTTTGCTTGGACTGATTCAAATGGTAAAATATGCATTGCATTTCAGCTAGGAAACATTCACCCTGCTTTTCCCAAATGGAGTGATTGCATAATGATCCTAGATTTATGTAGAGAAATATCATCATACGGAGCTTGTGGAAGATCTTGGCATGTCTCCATTTACACGCATTTATGTGCAGTAAATCAAAATTCAAAACCTAGACTGGGATATTATCATTAAATACTACTGCTATCTGTGCATAGCTATGTGTACATATATAGGTACAGGAGCTGTTGATTGATTTCCCCTACCAGCAATCTGTTGGGAGCTATCATGTAACAATTTGGCAATTGCATCTGCTTTTTAAAGTAGCTTTAATGAAAAAAACCACATTATTTATTTTGCAACTTACCTAGCACTCCCAAATTCTCTGTCTGGAAGATCTTCTGTAATGGAGGGACGTATATAACAGCCAGCTGTCCCAAAAATGACCCAAGGACAGAATACAAGAACATGCGGTTTCGAAAAAAGCCTATTTCAAATATCAGCTTTGTCTAGAGAAGGGGGGAAAAAAAAGAGAAATGTAACATTTCCCAGTCTCCTGTTGGTACTCGAATGTCACGCTGTTTCTTTGCATGCAAACGCCATTATTTTTTGAAGTTACATGAATGCGAACTTAGGCAGAGCTACATAGTTGAAAGTGTAGTTGCAGTTGAACTATGATGGATAACTTCATTTATAAAGGTGATAAAAATCGTGTGGCTTTAAATTACATTAAAGAAACCCCTTCGTATGCAAAATACTAGTATTCTGATGTTTATGTTAGTGTTTTGAGACAAGAAATTACTGCTGACAGAGCGATCTCACCTGAGAGCGGCATGTCAGGGCATTGAAGAGGTCAAAAAACACAAAACAGGTAAAAGTCATTGTTGTGGTTCGAGGAGTTATGCCACTTTTTGGATTCTGAAAGCACATGTAAAAATTCAGGGATCAGTTAAGCCTTACAAAAACATATCAATTCAACAGACGAATTAAATATTCCCTTTAATGACCCCAGTCAATTCGAAGGGTAGTAAAACAAAGGAATAAATCTAGTTCTAACCATTATAGATAGCATTAATTTCTCTCTGCTAATGATTGAGTTTATGGTCTTATCAACCATGTTTTGAATTCTTAAACTGATGTGGAATTTGAGTGAAGAATATTGTAAATTAATTGACTTAAACTGCTACAGTAACAGTCACTATTTACTAATAGCGATTCATAGTACTTAGGTACTTGGCATTTTCTACTTACATGGAAAGCTAGAGGTGAAAAGTACCTTAAAGCATTGAAATTATATCAAGTAATAGTTTTCCCACTCTAGATAGGAAGCTCCAAATCAGGGGCAACACAGGAATGCAGAAGCAGAGCTAGGAGCTGGCCCTGGTTTCTTAACCCTCTGCCCGTCCTGATCCTTCCCCACGGGATGTATTTCAGAAAGTCCTTCACATGTACTTCAGAAATTGCCCTTCACTTTGTTTTCCACCCTGATGAAAACAAGATACGATTGCAGATTTCCCTCACCTCCTTCCAGAAGACAAAGAGGGTTCCACTGATGATAATTATAGCTGACATGAAGATTTTCAGGATCAATGATTTGCTGAGTATAGAATCCGTGATACGTCGGGGTGGCTGTTTGATAGTATCCCTATCAACAGGTTCAACTCCCAAGCTGCCTCAAAGAGAAGCAGAGGGACGTGTTTAGTTCATGTGGATCATCCCGAAACGGTACTGTTGATAAAACAGGGTGGATCTGGAGGATGAAATTCTCTGAGGTACGGTGTGAGAGATCAGTACTCTGGTAGGATTACATAAGGCCCCAGGTTTGTCCGAAACACCTACCCCAAAGGCCTTTTTTGCATAATGAGCTGCTAAAATGATGTATTAGACTACCATAGTACATCATATCAGTATCCCATCCCAGAGGGGGAGCTAGCTGTGAGATGGTGGACAACATCTCTCCAACGTTGTGGAAGTACAATTGTAATTAGCAGTAGTTGTAATTAGCGGGTGGATGAGGTTCCTAAGTCTTGTGATTTTGGGGCATATACCACCATATGTTCCCAGTATTCCCCTGCCAGTCAGATCTGCAGGGCTACTAGCAGGTCATGCACCCAGGACAACAGACCATTCGTAGCAAAAAAGTGGAATAGTTAAGTGATTCCACCACAAAACAGGAATACGTAAAACCTCAAGTAAACCTGAAGTAAATGTGTTTGGAGGGACCAGGAGGGACTAAAAGTACAACTTGTCTTATCTAACCACCAAATGACTGCTGCATTGATAAGAGATCGTAACAGCTTGTGTTCCTGAGCCAAATTCAGACATACTAAAAGCAAGAATATTTTGCTCATTTGACTCTCCCATACCTCTGGGCTGGCGGCCCATCCATGATGATGTTGATCCATAAGATCTGCATAGCATTGAGTGGATTTGGTAGGTTGAGCACTGTTGACAGAGTAATTAGGCTCAAAGCTGAAATGCTCCTGCAAAGCACAGAAGAACATTATTCTGCATGACCTCACCTAAAAAGTGCCTTCACTGGAATCGAAGCAAACAGGAACTTACGTGCTCAACTGGAACCGGACAAAATTTTTTATGTTGTAAAATATTCCTTTTCCCTCTTCTATTGCATTCCTGGAAGAGAGAGGAGAGTTTATTAAATAACTAGTACTCACACTATTTTACATTGAGCTCCCTGTGATACTCAAAATACAAGGTGTCTTCTCTAGCACTTATTTCAGATGAAATTCAGACCCCGGCTTGGGAGGACATCAATGCAGCGTCTCAGTTAAAATGACTTTATCAGGACCAGTAGATCTGAAAACCCTGCTTCATACGGCCAGATCTTGGTTCATAAAGCAGGCATGTGAGCTATTTATATCCTCACTCTACTCTGCCTGCTCTCTCTGTTGTTACGAACCAACAGAGCATTGCAAATTATGTCTTTCCTCTGAGCTTCCTGGATAAGGCAGAGAGCACAAGTTACGATCTACCCAGACTTCTAGGAGCTTTCAAATCCCCGGTTAGCTACAGCAGTGAGAAACCAGGGCTTTCAGATGGAAGGTAGCTTTGTCACCACGACTTGAAACAAAAATTCATTGCCGTGTATGCAACTGAAAATGAGCCAGACCCACACTAGGTATCTCCACTTACTGCCTGTTGACTTACATGTCCGGCATCTTGCGTCATTGCCAGGGCCAGTCACATAACAGACCTGTTGCAATGGATAGCCAGAAAGTAGCTGAAGTAAGAAAGCGTCTGATAGTAAGAAAGTTGCCAAACCTACATTACTGTTGAGAAGTCATCGTCCACGAGAATCATGTTGGCAGCCTCTTTGCTGACGTCTGTACCAGCTTGTCCCATTGCAATCCCGATATCAGCAGATTTAAGGGCCACGGCGTCGTTAACACCATCTCCTGTCATTGACACAACAGCACCAGCCCTCTGCAAAGCCTGTGAGAGTGGAGAGACAAGAGAGACTGAAGCCAGGAGAAGATAAGTAAGTCCTGTTGGCAATCACAGGATTTGCACATGAAAGAGCAGAAGCGCTATGTGACATTGAGGGTAAAGCAGACTCAGCAGCCCACTGAGGACAAAACTCAGACCAAGAATTCAGAGGTCGGATTTTCAGGAGTATA